AGGCAGCTCTTGTGACATTATGTACGTCAGATGTTACAAGGAGCTGGGCCTTCATCCTGACGACCTGGAACAATCCAGCAACCCGATGGTCGGCTTCAATGGAACGCCGACATGGCCACTGGGCGCAGCAAGCGTAGAAGTACAAGCTGGTACTAAGAAGATCCAGACAGAATTTATGGTGATTGACACACCCTCGCCATATAACATCATCTTGGGAAGACCATGGTTGCATGTAATGGGGGCAGTTCCCTCAACACTGCATCAACTGCTACGGTTCCCCACAGAGCATGGGATTGAAGAAGTCAGAGGAGATCAACTGCAGGCAAAAAGTTGCTCCATGGCAACAACGAAGTCTACTTGCAGCATTCGAGAGCCAAAAGAGGCAAAGATTGAAGACGGGGACATGGAGGTCCTAGACGATGTCGGCAAGGAGCCAACCGAAAAGAGTGAAGAGACACTAAAGAAAATCCTTGTCCAGGAGGGCGACGAAGAACACTTCTTTCTTCTCGGTTCAGGCTTAGCCGAAGAAGAGGAAAGAGAACTGGAAGATTTTTTGAGAGCCAACATTGAGGTGTTCGCTTGGACACCTTATGAAATGCCTGGCATTGACCCCGAGGTCACTTGCCACAGACTGAATGTCGACAGGTCGGCAAAACCTGTGATTCAACGAGCCAGAAGACCGACGTTGATGCACGTTGAAGCAGTAGAAGAAGAAGTAGACAAACTTCTGGAGGCCAGGGCCATCCGAGAAGTTCACTACCTGACATGGCTGTCCAACACAGTAGTAGTGAAAAAGAAGAATGGCAAACGGAGGGTCTGTGTAGACTTTACCAGCCTCAACAAAGCCTGCCCCAAAGACAGCTTTCCCCTGCCCAAGATTGACCAGCTAGTAGATGCAACTTTAGGGCACGGAAGGATGAGTTTTTTGGATGCATACAGAGGGTACCACCAGATTGCCATGTACCCTCCACACGAAGAGAAGACCGCGTTCATCACCCCTAAAGGCTTGTACTGTTACAAGGTAATGCCTTTTGGGTTGAAAAACGCAGGAGCAACTTACCAAAGGTTGGTAACAAAGATGTTCAAGCACCTCATTGGCAAAACAGTAGAAGTCTACATCGATGACATGGTCGTGAAGACCAGGGAATCTAAGGGTCATCTTGCCGACCTAAAAGATGTCTTTGATATACTTAAAACATACCGGCTCCGACTCAACGCATCAAAGTGTGCGTTTGGAGTTGGATCAGGTAAGTTTTTAGGGTATCTAGTAACAAGAAAGGGCATTGAGGCCAGCCCAAACCAAATCAAGGCCATCCTAGAGCTAAAGAGCCCAACGTCGGCAAAACAAGTTCAGATGCTTACTGGAAGGGCCGCAGCCCTAAACAGATTCATCAGCAGAAGCTCCGATAAATGCAGACCCTTCTTCAACTTGGTGAAAAAAGCCACAGACTTTCTATGGACAGAAGAATGCGAAGCCGCTTTGACCGACCTAAAAAAGTACTTGACCACAACTCCGGTTCTTTCCAACCCAGTACCAGGGGAAGAACTGTTTTTGTACTTGCGTAAGTTTCAGAACACGCAGTCAGTTGACAGTACCTAATCGAGGAAGAGAAAGAGGGCGATGCAAAAGAGGCTGTTTATTTGTAAGTACAAAAAACCTTTGGTTCCGTTATAGATAGAAACAAGGTATATCTACCATGGAGAATATAATGCTAGCCTTAGAATGGCTTCAAAAGAAGTTGAACCATTACTTTCAGGCGCACAAGATTGTGGTCTTAACAGAGCATCCACTGAATCCTTGTTCTATAGCGCAAGGATAAGCTTAACAGGAAGGAATAGCAAGATGGCCGTAGCCCTAGGTCAGTATGACCTGGAGTTCAGGCCAAGAACAGCAGTTAAAGGCCAAGTTTGGCCGACTATCGTGGCAGAAATTCACCCCCGAACACATCAAAACATCGGGGCTCCGTTGAGCCATGAATGAGCATTGCCCCAGCAAGAGCCAAGAGAATCGCCAGCCAAAGGCAAAAGAGCAAGGAAGAAAAAACTCAAACCCTGCCACAGTCTACATCGGCGATTCATTCAGATTGTTCGTGCGATGGAAGTTCAAACCGACAAGGAAGCACGGAGGCAGGATACTGTTGATATCTCCAGATGGAGAAATAATAGAACAGTCCATCAGTTTGGGGTTCAAGAGGCCCTCAAATCAATGAAAGCAGAATCACAAAGCAAAATATTAATTTGCTAGATAAAAATATAATAAAAGGCCATCACCGCCAGCAGCAGCAAAAGCAAGATGAGGTATGATAGGGTATTTTTGATTGATACACAACATTATTGTTAACCAGTCAACAATGATGACAATTTTGCAGCACACGGGACGTGTAGAGATGGATTGACATATGCAAATTAAAATGGGGTTCATCAGATTGACAGCGCCTATTTCAGAACTGCTGACCGTACTCACAAGTTAGCCGAGATGACAACACCCCAGCCCGACGCGTTGCGTAACCTGGCAAGTTCAATGCAGACTGGAAAAAACAAGGACAATTAGATGATCGACTAATATGTCGGCCCGAGCATTAGACCAGAGAACACAGAGCAGCAAGCAATGTGTGGACATGGGGCCAAGCTGGATGGATGCAATTGTTGCATTCCTGAAAGAAGGAAAGTGCAGAAGATCGTGAAGGAGACACAAAGTCAGATTGAAATCTGCATAGATTTCTGTCTGACAGAAGATGGACATCTGTACAGAAGATCCTTCACTGGACCCCTTTTAAGGTGCGTACACCCTTTGCCGGTTGAAAGATTTCCTATAATGAAATATTCAGATGAAGAAATTTGTGGAAGCCACTCGCTGGGGCAGATCATTAGCCCACAGGGCATTACCCAAGTTTGGTATTGGTGGCCGACATGCAAAAAGATTGCTGAAACCTACGTGAAGAAGTGTGAACAATGCCAAGGTTTGCACCTTTAATACATCAGCAAGCTGGCTAACACTAGAACCCGAGTATCCAGCCCTTGGCCGTTTGCCGCAATGCGGCAGGATCTTGTCGGGAAACTTCCCCAGGCAAACTGTGCAGAGAAAATACCTGCTGTGGCAACAGGTATTACTTTACATGTGAGGTATAGAGGCAGAATACCTGCCAAAATCCGAGATGTGGACGTCAAGAACTTTATATGGAGAGAACATCCATCACCAGATTGGATTCCAAGAGCAATAGTTGCCGACAACGGAACACAGTTTGACAAGCAAACTCATCAAGAACTTTGTGCGAAATTCAGATCAAAAATTACTTTTCAACACCAAGTTTTTCCCAATAGTAAGTGGAAGCAGAAACAATCCAACAAAGTAATTTGGATGGAATAAAGAAGAGCTGTAGGAAGCAAAAGAGAAAGTGGGTAGTCGAATGTCCCAACGTGCTTTGGGCATATCGGACTACGCTGAGAAGATCAACAGGGAATCCCCTTTGCCATGGCCTATGGCACAGAAGCAGTCATCCCATTAGAGATCGCATCCCAGGGATCAGGACCAGGGAGTAGAACATGGCACCAATAACATACTCTTAGCCGAGATCTGGATCTTCTGGAAGAGAACGAAGAGAAAAGCTGCAATTCAGCTAGCAGTATACCAGCAACAGCTTGCTAGAGCTTACAACAAGAAGGTCAATCCAAGAGATTTTCAGGTCGGCGACCTAGTCCTAAGAAAAGTCGTCGGCAACAAAAAGGATCCCAGAGAGGGCAAGCTTGGCCAAACTGGAAGGACCGGCTACAGAATTACTTCGGTATTAGGCAATGGAGCTTATCGGCTTGAGGACAATGAGGGCAAAGCATTGCCCAGACCTTGGAATACTTGTAATTTGAAATTTTTCTATCATTAGATGTACATCATATTTTGGCCGATATCATCAATAAAGTCTTTTCAGAATTCTTTCAACACATATGATTGATAAAGTTATACATTGATGTTTATTGAAGACATAATTAATGTGAACCCAAGTCAAACTCAGGTTCACATTGGGGGCAAAGAAAAGGCCGAGATTATTCCTTAATTCACTTGTTGAGATTTGTAGCAATTTACAAGTTGAAGTTAAGCCGAGATTACTGTTTCTCTTCACTTGTTGAAATTTGTAGCAATTTACAAGTTGAAGTTAAGCCGAGATTACTGTTTCTCTTCACTTGTTGAAATTTGTAGCAATTTACAAGTTGAAGTTAAGCCGAGATTACTGTTTCTCTTCACTTGTTGAAATTTGTAGCAATTTACAAGTCGAAGTGAAGCCGAGGTTGTAGTTTGCAACTTATAGCAATCTACAGGTTGATCCAACCAAAGAAGATGCTTAACACTTGTTGAAATTTGTAGCAATTTACAAGATAATGTTAAGCCGACATGTGATCATTTGTTGAAATTTACAGCAATTTATAGGTTGAGGTAAAAGCTAAGTATATTGTTTAAACACTTGTTGAAATTCGTAGCAATTTACAAGTTGATCATTGTTATAACTTGAAAAAAATTTACAGTATATAACACTTGTTGAAATTTGTAGCAATTTACAAGTAGGTTGACCGAGATCACTGTTTAAATACTTGTTGAAACTTGAGAAGAAGCTTACAAAGTTAACATTGAATAGTATATGTTAAACACTTGTTGGAATTTATGAAGAGTTTGCAGGTCTGTATCTTGCCGAAATAAAATGTTATTGTACCCGAGGTACGTAACCCCGAGAAGATTGCACAAAGGAGGCAAAATGAAAAGGCATGCAAAATATTCCAAATATAGAATCATACAGACGCAATCAAGAGAAATTAAAGATTAAAGCGTTCAGACGAAAACAGTTGTAGTTGTATACAAAGAAGGCACTACAGCCTACCAGAAATAAAGTTGTATCCAACAGAAGCAGAAGATACATCAGCTAACTAAAAGAGCTTACATTGTTTCAAAAACCAGAAGTACAGAAAAGCTTATATTATCCAAAGAAACAAAAAGAGTACGGAAGACATCCAAGTTATGATTCTTTAGTTTCAGGAGCGATTTGGGTCTGGACCTCGGCAGATTCCTGGGGAACTACTTCGGCAGCCTTCTCTGCAGCCAGCTCGGCATCAATCTCTACAAGCGTTTTGTCAAGACTTCTTTCAGCTAAGAGAAGGTCGGATGATAATTGCCCTGTAACAGCTTCCCTAGGCGCCTCCCCAACCTCATCACCCTCTTCATCCAAGGTTAAGTCCATGACTTGCTCAGTTGGAGGAAGGGACTTGGCCTCAGTAGCATCCTTAGATTTCCTCACCAAGGCCTCATCTTCATTGTTATCTTCATCCTCAGCCTCAGATTCTGACTCATCTTCAGCTTGACTTGAAGGTGGAGCAGGAGGAGGGAATGGGAGAGGAATAGCTTCAACCTTGTGCAGAGGAGAATCTTCAGGAACATTGAGCTTTTTGGCCAGGGACAACCAACCAAGGGAAAAGCCCCTGTTGCATGCCTGCCTAACATGCAGTTTGTAGTCCTCAGCAACATTGGCCATTCCTTGGGCGTAAGCTTTTTCATCGGCTTCAGTAATTTCGGCGTTTTTAGTGGCCAGGGCCTCCACGAGCTCTTTTTTGGCTTGAGCCTTTTTTACCTCGGCATCTCTCTTCTCGGCCTCGGCAACTTTTTTGATGGCTTCAGCAGACTTCGCTTTTTCTTCGGCCATCTGTTGGGCCTTAGTGGCAGCCTCCGCCTGATCTTCCAGCTTCTTCATCTTTATCAGAGCAGCCTTGTTCTCCTTTTTGAGGACAGAAAGCTCCCTCTTCATGTCGGTCAGCTTCTCCCTTGTTTCGAAAGCTTGCATGGAGAAGGAGTGGGCATGTTGGATGGCCTGAAAGAACACAAGGCACAAATTGTTACAAACCTTTACAAATTAAGAGAGAAGACAAATTTCAACACAAAGACACTTACTTGGACAGAGTGTTGCAGCATAAAGGCGTAATTCTCATACTCACTCATCTTGGCGTTTCGCTCAAGATCGCCTGGGAGGAGTAGCGCAGTACTTAGGGCCACGCCGACGTTTATGTCATCGGCACTGTCGCTGGCTAGGACTGGCTTATCTTCCAGAGTAATTTCTGGTCTCCAAGGGACTTTTGGTACTTTGGAAACTGAGGTCGTCGCAGACGATGACCTCGGCTTCTTTGATTGGGTGGATTCCGATGGCTGGGCCTTAGCTGACCTTTTTGCAGAAGTAGAAGCAGTTCTTTTACTCTCAACCAAGTGTGTGATGGGCAGAGCGTCCTCAGCCTCAACCTCAGTAGCTTTGGCCTTGGGCTGAGCCTTTTTAATTCTCTTCAGCTTTGGTGGGGGCATGGTTTGCGGCGGTTGAACGTCAACATCCATGGGAAGGTCGGCTAGGAGATCTTGGGCAACAGGCTTCGGGCGACCCATCTCAGCAGTTTTGACGAGTCTTCGCCGACATTTTCTTTCTGGTATTAGGATTAGGTATGGGCCAGAAGTTGATGGTTGGTCGGCTGGATCAGAGGTTGACCCTTGGTCAGCCCGAGATGTTGATGCTGTTTGTGGAGTGGTAGCAGAGGGAGGAGATAGGCTCTTCTTTTTTCTTTTTGGGACGTCGGGCAGTGTGAATTTGTATGTCGGAATAAAATTCAGTAACAGGGGAGCCTTGCGCTTGTGGATTGGAAGATTTAGGAGCTTCTTTAAATCTTTTCCAAGGAAGAAGGATTGGCGGAAGTTTTTTGGTGGCTGATGAAGATCTGCAGGACAAACAAACAGACATTAAGAAACAGACAGAGTTTTGAAAACTTGGAAAAGAAATAACTAAGTATTGACGCTGGGCTCTTACCCTTGCCCTCTTTAACTGTTCGAGGAAGAGGGTAGAGTTGAACATCTTCGTCTGGATCAAATTCCCAATTTCCCGAAGCAATGACAAAGTCATCCCCGACTCCCTTGTTGGAATCCGGGAGGTCGGCTACAATTTTGAATTCAGCAGACCTTGGCTTTAGGTAGTAGACGTAACCTCTTTCCTCCAGGTTAAGGGGGCACATGGTATAACAATATTGTACATCGGCGAGGGTGATCCTAACATTCTCCTGCCTAGCTAGGGCTATGATACCATTAATCACTCGATAAGAGTTGATGGTAAGTTGCATAGGGTTCAACTTATAGTAGTGGAGAACCTCGCGAAAAAGGGGTTAAGTGGAAGCCGGAGTCCGCACTCAGTAAAAGATACTATAGGAAAGGGCATTGAATCATTTGTGGGCATGATAGAGTCATTATCTTCAGCTAGCCTCAGGTGGACATCGGCAGGAATAGAGAACTCCTGCCTAAAGTACTCAAGTTTGGTCGGGGTATCAACCCTATGTCTCCACATGCCCATAACGTCGACCTAAAGTGAGAGGGCCAGATTTCAGGAAGAAGGTGCTCTTAAGTAGTGACTGATAAGGCTTGTTTCAGTTTTCCTTAAAAATTGAAGGTTCTACAAACAAAACCCAAACCTAAATCTATGAAGGCAAAGATTGATAGCAAGAATTAAAGGCAGAGATCTGGAAAACAACACAGGAAACAAGAAACAAAGAATGACGTTTCAGAATCAAGAACAGAGGTATGGTTCTCAAAAACGAAAGAAATACAGGCTCAAGAACAAAGGCAAAAAAAGTATTGAAACAGTACAAGTGTTCAAGACATGAGTGAAATCGTGGAATAAGAACGTCCAGACAAATAGTTCAGCAAAATCAAAGGTTTGAAACAAAGCAATAATGGCAGCAAGTAAATGAAAGCACATAGAAGAAATTTGGAATAAGAGGAACAGAGGCTTACCAGAGCAAATGAAGCCGGAATGAAAGGTCGCCGAGGTAAGGCAACGGCTGCAGACACGACGGAACGGCGAAAGCTTCAAAGAAAGAATGAAAACGGTTGCAGAGCTTGGAGCTAGAGCAATGGCGGATTTGAGAAGGTTTAAGAGAGAGAGAAAGTCAGAAGATCGAAAACAAAAGTAAAGAGACGAAAAGAAAGGGGGAAAAGTTTTGTAAAAAAACTTGAAACGGCGGCAAAAGCAGGGCATTTATTACGCCTGGAACAACGCACACGTCAGACGGCGCAGATGGGTGAAATACAGCTTTCAGGCGCGTCACAGACACGGGCCAATGAGGATAAAACATGTAAGGGGAACGGTTGAGAGAAGGTGCATGACAGCTCATGCGCGTGGAGGAGTTCGTTTGAGTTCTTGTTCTTTGATGAAGGCATGTCGGCCTAAAATGAATGACCTCGGCCAAAAGTTCTTACGCCGAGGTACTAGAAGAAAATACCTATATATATTCCATCACCTCAGAATGTATTTTCTGAATACCAACACGTGGCATGGTGACGCCGACGTGTCAGCCGAGGTGCCACGTGTCGTGGTAGTTATGTCGAGGTTATCTTGGTAAGGCCGAGGTTATCTCCGAAGATATCGGAATCCAAGATAAGCGGATAAGGGACAAGAGTTCTAGAGTAAAGAGAAGACTTTGCTAAGATAAGGATAAAGCTCTTAGGGAGTTTATCTTTATCTCTTGAGGAATCCAAAGTAAGTACTAAATTGGAGTCCATAGAAGTCAGGCTTCTAGTAGGACTTGGATTGAGTAAACTATAAAAGAGAGGCACCCCCGTGGGTCTAAGGTACACAGTTTTATACTCAAGCTTGTGAGTTTAGCACTTGATTATCTTTGAGAGATATACTGACTTGATCGTCGGAGTGCCCCCGGGTGGAAGAGCCACCGCCGGAGCCTTTTCTTTCTGTTACAGGTTTGCTGAAGCCATCTATTCTGCCAGTGCTCTCCAGCTGATTACTAGGCGGGCAGTGTGGTCAGAAAATCACCTACACAGTTTTCAACAATTATAATCTTTAAAAAACTTACAGCAATAACGTCAGAGTTTGAGATTGACTGTTTTTAGTAATTTTTTATAGACTTCATTTTGTTTTAGATTTTGTTCAAAATTTTTTGATTTTTAATTCTATTAGATTAGACGGGTCAAAAAAAAATTAAAAATTAAAACAAAAATAGAAAATGGTCTACCAAAGATTAGAAAAAAAAAAAAAGAAGAAGAAGAAGAAGTTGAAAATAGTTAATTTTCACCTTTATTCTTTTCCTTTTGAATTTTTTGATTTTTTTTTAAATTTTGTTTTTAATTTTTTGATATTTTTTTTTAAGGTTTTAGATTGTTCTATATTAGATGAGCCTGAAAACTAAGGGTGTGTTTGATTGGGGGGATAAGGGGCGGGGGGGACTATCCACTATTTGGACTCCATGCCGCCCATAACGTCGTATCCGTCGTTTGATTTTTTTTTTTAGTCCGGCGGACTCCATGTCCGGCGGACTCCATGTCCCCCATATGGGGGACTATCCTGTCCTGGGGGGGTGGGATTGTTTTGGGGGGACTAATACACTGTTTGGATTAGATGCGAAAATGACAATTTTGACCCTCTACTATTTAATTATGTATTATATTTAATAAAATTTAAATGTCTCAATTTAAATGTCAGAGTCAAGCTGATAGAATAACGGTGACCCTTTAATTGTTAATAACTTTACTATCAAACTAAAGTTCTATAATCGTGGCCCAAAAAAAAAAAACAAACTCCCACGTTGTTGCTATAAGTTTTGTATGATATAGTTGGAAAGTTTAAACAAATTTGAAAAAGAAAAAAAAAAGTTAAAACTCTTTAATAAAAAGAAGAGTGGTGATTAAGACTCTCATCTCCACAAGACCCTCACAGACTCTTATAATCTAGATACTCATGATGTGAACCCCACACATATATGAGTAGCCCTACACATACATGAAGGGTCAGAATCACTTTGGGGGTGTGGGGTCATCCCCAAAGGAAGTCCCAAACATTTCCCTAAAAAAGAAACTTTTAAATAGTAAGGCCTGGTTTGGCATTCTAAAAAAAATTCAAAAAAGTCAAAAAGTTACAAAAAAAAGTTAAAAATTTTCACTATTCACAATTAAAAATATAAAAAATTTAATTTTACACAATATTTTAATACAAACCAATCAATTGACGTGACTGGTACTGAGTGTGAAATGCACTTATTGGTCTGTCATAGGAACAAAAAATAAAAATATATATATATTCATTAAGTTGGAGGATAATGTTGGGCCAGGGAGGCCCACCAGGGTCCCTTTTTGATAATCGAACCGTTAAATGTGTAGAATTCGTCGAATACTATATGCTTGTAAAAAATCACATTAACTGATATGGATAGCTGTGGCATTGTTTGGGAAGGGCTAAGTGGTTATTTTAGCCATAAAAGACAAAATAAGCTAATTTAGCCACAAAAAACAAAACATCACATCCAATCCATAATCATTATACTCTTTTCTCATAAAAAAAAAGCAAAAAAGTCAAAAAAAAACTAAAAACCCTTCTCAAACAACTTTTTAGCCCAGGCTAAAATAGTCAAAAAAGCCAAAAAGCCAACCCACTTCTCAAACGGAGGCTAAATCAGTTTGGTATAAAAAATAGATGGTGTTATAGTTAACGGTTGACAAAAAACTAACGATCAGATAGCTATCAATATCTGATCAACGTAATTTTTTACAAGCATATAGTAGTCGACGAATTCTACACATTGAACGGTTCCGATTAGAAAAACAGAACCCGTGGTGGGCCCACATGGGCCGAACAACACTGTCCAATTCAAACCCGAAAAGGAGACAATAATTTCCTATCTCCTAATCAGCCCACTGCTCTACCAGACTGTACGGACTACTTCACTAACTTTTCTATATACTTATTTATACAATTTTAAAAACACATTTTTCGTAAAAAATCAAAAAATTAACTCAAAAATCTTTTTTCTTAACTTTTTAATCTAAAAAAATAAAATATACACTTATTTAAAACAACCAAGCAATTTCTAAATTGTAAAACGAACACTAATATGCAAGCGTAATCACAACAAACAATAATGGTGACACACCTGCGCATGGCGGGGACAATGGATAAAAAATAT